TTTACAGATGGGAAAACAGTTTTAAGAACAATCAGCTGTTGTAGAAAAAATATTAGAAAATGAGCGTATTGTGTTCATTTTAGGGCTTTAGCAGGACAAGTTAATAATGGTAGCACTACTGGTTGGTAAAAATCCTGAACAGTTCTCCTAAAATAAGGAAAAACTACTGGGAGAAAATACTTGATCATGTAGTTAATAGCAATATAATGTATCTGGTAGCTTTGAGGTTGTATGGGCAATCTACGTGTGAGCAGTTTCAAACTGAAGCACTTCATTTACAATGTAAGTGTCTTTTAAGCTTTGTGTAGTGCAGATTGGAGCATTTGGCTACCACAGTATGAAACATAGCGTGTTTGTTTAATTTGCAGTGAAAGAGAAGGAAGAATTATTTTGATTTAAATAAAAAAATGAAAAGAACCTCTCATTTAATGATGATTTATGTTTGAGACATTTGACATCTCATATAAATGCTAACTGAGCTATGTATTTTTAATGTATTTTTTCCTGTCTGTAGGCTGAAGAGTTGTTTCTGTGGGTCCCTAGAAGACTACTGATGACAGTCGAGTCAGCTAAAAGCTCAGTGTTAGGTAAGAGCTTAAGGAAGTTCTTAGGCAAGAAGTTGATGTGTATGGGATCCTTCAATAGGAGACTTTCTTTTTTTAGCTGATCTCCTTTATGACAGGACTTGCTTATCACACCAGCCATCAGGTTTGAAATACTTAAAAGCCTCAAGTGTCAGTGGAAAGAATTTAATTTCCCTCTTTGTTTCTGGCTGAGCACACCAGATATCTTCCAGAAGTGTGTGTGTTATTTTGAACACATATCATGTTGCTTGTGTAACGCTTGGAGACAAAATGTTCTGAGGTACTGAGAGTATTGTTCTAGTTTCTTTATGTTCGTGCGTTAATCTGGGGTGATATTTGCCATGGGCAATTAATTTGGTGCCTCACCTTTCTGGGTTAATTCAGGGTCCCTGTATTCTCAAGATCGAATCCTTCAAGCCATGGGCAACATCACGTTGGCGTTCCACCTCCTCTGTGAGCGAGCCAACCCCAACTCTTTCTGGCTGCCCTACATCCAGACACTTCCCAGTGAATATGACACTCCTCTCTACTTTGAAGAAGATGAAGTGCAGTATCTTCAGTCAACTCAGGCCATACACGATGTTTTTAGCCAATATAAAAATACAGCTCGACAGTATGCCTATTTCTACAAAGTTATTCAGGTAAGCATCCTAAATGTAGCATGTGTTGTTCTAGTGATGATTACAGGGGAAGGTGTGAAAACAGCGATGCTAAATACTAGAGCAAGTGTGCTGCTCTTCAAGGTTTGAATCATTAAAGCAATTTCCTGCTGGTTTTTGAACTGCTGTTGAAATGTCACAGTTCAGTAGGCTTATGAATAGATAAGAATTATTTAGTTGGTCGAGAGGAATGATTACTGCCCTTTGTGTCTGGCATTGGGAGAGGCTTCATCTGAAATGCTGTACATTTTGGGGCCTACCAGTGCAAGAGTTATGGACAAACTGGAATGAGATCAGAGGAGGGCTACTAAGATGTTGCTTGCTTCAGTCCTTTATCCATACAGCAAGGGACTGAAGGAGCTGGATTTGTTTATTCTGGGAAAAGGACATAAGGGATGACCCAGTTACTGTTTCTGACTGGCTCCTGGTAGCCAGACTCCAGAAGTTTGCCTGTGGGAAGTTGGGCAAGGTGACCTGCACACATCAACCTATGCCTCTATGAAAAATGCATCATTTGCAGTAGACAAAGTAATATTATAATTGATAATTGACATAAAATAAAGCCATTGCATATGTTGTATTTCAAATGACCGTGGATTAACTGTTGTTTTCTATTCTATTGAACATAATTATTTTGATTGCTTTCAAATACAAAGATAAACCCATCTGGTAACCATCTGAGTATGGGGAGGCTTGAGATGGGTGAACTTTTCATCATGTTCTGAATGATTTAAACTGAGTTTCTAAGACAGAACCGTTGCTCTGATGTCTAGACATAGTTGATGTTTAAAGTGAATGGTGATGTGTTGTTGAGGTAGTGCTCAATGTCCAAACATCCAAAGCTTTTTATGGCAATATCTGTGTGAAAAGCACATGACTACACACTGAATTTCCACAGTTGTGTGATTTAGAGACAATTTTTTGGCCATAGGAGAGGTCAGAAGACATAAAGCAAATTTATTCTCCTTTAACATTATCAGACCTCCAAAGGTTGACTTATTAGTTGTTTTAAGTCAACAAAAGTTACATTAATTTGCTTAGCTGTTTGGTGTTCGAAGAGCTTCATGTTTCAAACATTCACCAAGTATGAGGAGTGGAGGGATACATTTTGAAAACTGAAGTCACTGAAAACCAAGTAAGGTGCACTTCAGTGAAGCAAGGAGTAGAAACAATGGCTTTAATATCAGGAAGGAACAAAATTCTTCATTGCAGGTGTCACAATTCAGGAAGTGATCGTTCAGCCAACTCTTCTTGTGCCATGTCCACGCTTCACCTGCCAGCTTTTGACTTTTTTTTTCCCCTCAAAGTGCACTGGCTGCAAACAGAACTCCTAAATTTTATTTCTTTAGAATATCTTTTTACCTTTAAATAGCTCTATTGGTTTTAAAGCATTATTAGTAGAATATCATATAATATCACACAGTTCTTCCTGCTGCTCCTCCTACTCTTGCAGTACGTATCAGACAGCTGAACTATCACTGACTGGTTCCGACACTTTCATTGACTGATCCTGCACCAGGAGTGTTCTGGGAGAGCTAATGAGCTCACAACATTAATTAAAAAAAACCCCCAAAACCTGAAATACAGTTTTACAGAGAAATGAGATCTGGATTTTTGACTACTGCGTGTTCAGAATTTCAGAACCGCTTCTCAGTGGTTGATGAATGCGTGTATGAATACGACATTAACGTGGTGCAAACACAACTGAAGGATGTATATAAAATGCAGTGGTGTAACATCAGTTAAAACGTGAGAGATCTGTTATGTGAAAAGCAATTTAAATGTTTGACAAAATGCTTTCTAATGAAAACTTCATGTGGTACCTAATCTGTTTAAGGATGGGAAATAATACAGTATTTCTCTTATTGTCTGTTAATGCTAATCACAAATCATTTGTTTAACATTTAAGCTGATGTGGTCCAAGTAGCTTCTCACTAAAAATAATATATATTCTGCATCAAAGTCCATGCTGTTGGCTGTTAAGAGTAAGAAACTCTACAGTTTGAGCAAATAATGTGCAAGAGGTGACTTTAGGGGCAGGCTGTTTGGAACCCCAGAAATGGTGATGTGCTGCACATGGTAACAAGCCCTTAATACACTGTACTGTATATATATTTTTATTTTCATTTGTAATTCTATGGAAGCTGATATCACAGCTCATGGAAGAAGACTTCTCGGTCTGATGTCATTGAGACCGATTCAGTTCGGTTTGATCTGCAGCAATGGGAAACCTTTGTGGGAATTGTGCTTAAATAAATGGCCATCTTCTCTTTGAAATTTATATTAATATACCCAAGAAAGTGTTTAGTATGGTACTTTTATACGACTTGTTAAAATGTAGGTTCTGGGCACTTGTGGTCAGAAATCTAGACCAGGTTTTTATTCTCCTAACAAATGCTTTTATTGCTTGTTTCATATTCTTGTATAATACAGCTGTTGTTTCATGTTGAACACGAGCGTGAAGGTAGATCAGGTAGGAATAATTTGCTTTATTTATTTGCACTTTGGAGAACAAATATTAGGTAAATTTTAGGTGTGTTCTTGTTTGGTGCTGTGCTTCAGCACTGCCACCTGACCACAATTTCAGCTGAACGTTTCTTTAGTGTTCAGTAAATGTCACATCAGGAAGAAACATAATTTCAGCCGACTCCAGGAGTGCAAATGAATGTCCTGGGTACCTGTTATTAATGCTGTTGATGAAAACTCTTGGGGAAAGATTTAAAACTTTTTGATTTCTGTTTCTGCTCTCAAAAATGAGAGCTTGTAATTTATGAAATGGTGAAGGGAAAAGAGAAAGGTGCATTAAAAAAAAGCCTCTTTCTTCCCTAAAACTTAAGTACTGCTTTTTATTATTCAGAAGAACTGAAATTAATTTTAGTATCATCTTGCATGCACTCATTTTATGAACAAAGTTGACCCACAAAGTCCTCGTGCTAAGGGTAATGTTTTTGGAAATTCATGAGCATATGGAAAAGGGAAGAAGAGGTGGGGAGAGAAAAATTCATCATGTAAAGGAAAAAAAGCAAAGCAAACCCATTTTCCTATGAAAGGCAGCACGCTCTGCAAGCTTTCTGAAAGTAAAAGTTAGATTTTTGTGTACCAGCCTTTCACTCAGTGCTACTACTGCTTTTTAATGAAATAAAATGAATAAGCAGTTGAATCAAAGCTGGCCTGGGTGACCAGGATTTTGATTTAACTTCAGTTATGCAGACTAATATACTTGTAATTTTTTAAATTTAGAAATAACGCTTTGTAATACAAAAATCTTACCACCATGTTTACTTTCTTGGTAGCTGTTCTACTGCAGAAAGTAAAACAAGGAGCATCTTGAAATAAAAGATGTTTTGCTGACACTTGAAGACACTGAAAAAGGGAGTATTTTGTGCAGGCACAGTATTTTAATTCCTTTGCAACATTTTTGTCTGCAAAATATTTTTTAGTGGTTAATTTTCTTTCCAAATAGGATTTCTAGACTGGAATTAAGATAATTTGCCTTCTGATACGTGTGCAGTTTTAAACATTGTGTGATGAGCGCTGGTCTGTTTTATTTCCCTCACTTCTCCATCAAGGTGATGTCTTGGAGCCCTGCAGTGCTGCCTCTGTCTCCAAGTGCTTGGTTGGGGATACACGTGAAAAATGGGCAGATTTATGCATTTCACAGCTGTTGCGAGCTAAATCGTAGCCTGGGCTGATAAGCAGGAACAGGTGGGATGTTGAGGAGACAAAAATAAACCCCTGAGCATGTTAGCCAGGCTCTATAAACCACGCTGACACCTTCTTAAGCACATGTAAGTTGATAACTAGATAACTTAAAAACATTTAAATGTTTTTACAGATGTGCTTTAAAGGTGTATTTGGCCTCTGCATCGCGATCAAAGTACAGCGAACGGTCACAAAAGTACTTTAATCGCAGCAGCCTTGTTGTTTGCAAGTTGGTTTTTGTAGTTTCCTCCAACTGCAGGATTTCTTTTCCCCTGGGAGGTATGTGTGTGACTCCATTAACATTTATGGGCATTGCATGCCTACTAAAGGGCGAACAGAGCCCACGTATTTATGGCTTTATGTTATTTATTTTTTTTGGTATGCTGAAGTGTGGTATAATAAGCACAAGAGGGAGCCATATAGTTTAGACATTCACAGTGAGATGATATTCCTGAAGAAAGCACAAGTTGGAACCTTTTTTGAAACGAATATGCAGTGGTCTTTGTGTTTGACTTTCAGCTGCATTTGGGTGCCTGTTTGTAGTCTGCTGCAGAGAAGTTTTTGCAAATCAAAACAAGACATCGAGGCAAGGAGTGCGCTTAGAGGAGCTGAAGTGCCCAAATTCTGTTTACATTTTGCATGCTATCGGTCTGAAGCAGTGTTGTGTCTTCTCCCCAGGTAAAGGCTGTTATTAGCTGCCTTACTAAAAGACAATTTTATGATCATTTCAGTGAATTTTTAAATTCTCTGAAGTTGTAGGTCTGAAAGTAGCAGAGCCCATCAGTTAGCCAGAGCCACCGTTGCTTCAGGCTTTACTAGTGAGACTGGCCTTGAGGAATCCCAGGTCCCTGACAGCAGGAGGAAAGGCTGCGGCAAGGTAACCCAGTGATCTCTGGATGATCGTCATGACTGGGAGAGGTTCCTGAGGGCTGGAGGAAAGCAAATGCCAGGGAACAACAAGCCTGTCACCCTCACCTTGATCCCGGGAAGGTGCCATCCAGTGGGACCTTGGTGGGTTGGGGAAATGGGCTGAGAGTTGATGAGGTTCAACAACAAGTGCAAAATCCTGCATGTGGTGTGGAATAATCCCGTGAATATGTTGGAGGCCAAGTTGAACATGAGCCAGCAATGTGCTAAAAGGGCTGATGGCCTCCTGGGCTGCATTGGAAGTGTTGCCAGGAGCTGGAGGAAGGTGATCCTTCCCCTCTGCTTAGCACCGGGGAGGCCACACCAGGGTACTGGGTCCAGTTCTGGGCTCTCCAGTACAGGAGAGATTGGTA